ATATATATATATATATATATATATATATATATATATGTATTTAATTATTACCAGAGCCACACTCCATTCAGGAAGGGGGTGAGAGGGAGACAGGCGAAGAGGGTAACTGAGCTCGGTGACTGTAACAGAGACAGGCCCCTCATACACAGTCCCAGACCCTTTCACGTGACTGAGGCCATGAGATCATGTCTCTCCAAGTACACACGAGTGGAAGTGATGTGTGTCATCTCCCAACTGAGCAAGTATGGCCTTCCCCACATGCTCCAAGGGGCCAGTGGAGAACAGAGCCACTACAGGGACAGAGCCTGGATCCCCAAATCATCACACAGAGCACAGTCCCCCTCGCTTCCACACACAAGCAACAGCAACAAACACAAGACTGTCATGTGAGTGAAGAAATAAATCCTTTATTAGGTTAAGCATCTATGATTCGGGCATCATTACAACAGACTGCCTGCTCAAACACCATGACAGAAAGAGGCACCAGTTTACCTACAAGAAGCAGTTAAGTTTATGCTCAGGCAACAGAAGCAATGCTCTAATCTGAGATCAAATGCAAAAATCAAAAGATCACCTTATGTAGCCCAAAGAATTAAGTTTCCACTTGCCCAGGCAGACACACCTCATCAACCCTTATTAGTGTTTTCAACCTGCTTTCATCATGACCCTCCACCCTGAGTAAGAAATACATCTTACATTGCAACCGGGTCTCATATTTAGATATATAGCTGAAAATTTTCACAGAACAGTATTTGCCTTTACAGCCGGATGATGAATTTTTACTTAATTCTACTGATTTGCAATGCTGGTGACCGTCCACTAATTTGATTTCACAATTCAACCGGGTCTCATATTTAGATATATAGCTGAAAAGTTTCACAAAACAATATTTGCCTTTACTACACGACGAATTTTTACTTAATTCTACTGATTTGCAATGCTGGCGACCGTCCACTAATTTGGTTTCACAATTCACTAGTAGGCTGAGACGCATGGTTTGAAAGCACAGCGTTACTAGGCTCCACGCATTTTTGTGATCTTTGTAAAGCCACTCCACACATGTAGACACGTGCTTAACTAGGAAACAATTTGCTATTGAGGATTCAGAAGTGAACTTGATATCAGGTGTTTACGAAAAGACCAAACAGCTTGAGCAGAAGCCCTGGGGAGCTTGAACAAGGGGAACAGAGACAAAGCTGACTTCAGCAAGAGCCGGAGGATCACACACTTTAAGGCAACTCTACACTTTGCACAATGACAAATGTTCCAATGTGTGGGTGGTGCTAAAATGGCTACGGAAGAAAGGGGAATATTCTTTCACACCGGATAGCTCGTGCTTGCACATGGGCATCTGCATGGGTGTGTTTACAAGGAGACAAGGGCTTCCCGTGGGCCCTTCTGGGTTCTAAGTGCTTTAGCCACGTTAGCTCATTTAGAGGACAGACAGACTTACATCCACACAGATACTGCAGGAAGCCACGCAAGGGTTTCAAAGCAGCAGATACATTGCTAGGGAAATCTGGCAGGCAAGATTGCCCTCTAGGGACATAAACCTGGGCAGGCAAGGCTGTCTCTAGGGACACAAACCTGGGAGGCAAGGCTGGCCTCTAGGGACCCTACAGCAAAGCAGCTCATCGCTGAGCCTCAGGCTGCACAGGGAAAATGTCACCTGCCACACACCCCGGGAGCCCACGGAGCCTCCCGCCAGCGTGGGCACCACACGCAGCAGGGTGGGGTCCCAGGGCCCACCCCAGCGCGTAGCCTTTCTCCTTCTCATGGGTCTTCTGATGCTCGGCCAGGGCCAGGCTGAAGTGGAAGGTCTTCCAGCAGCCCTGGCACGCGTACAGCTTCCTGCCGCTGTGGCTTCGGAGATGGTCAATGAAATGTGAGATCCACGCAAAGGTCTCCCCACACTCGCTGCACGCGTAGGGCTTCCCTCGGGACAGCCCAGGCTCATCGGCAGCAGAGCAACTCGCGCCCAGGGACCCTGCGCCGAGGCCAGATGCAGCGGGCTCCTTCACATGGCGCTGCTGGGGGTGGCTCACGCTGGAGACAGGCTCAGGGCCCTGCCCGCCCACATCCTTCGAGTGGGGCCTTTTTCTTCCAAGGCCTTGGCGTGGGGCAGCTGGAGCTACAGGCACAGTAGGGCTCTCCCCTGCTGTGCCCCTGTCCTGGGCTGGCTCCCGGATGACTGATTGCCTCTGGGCTCTGGGGACAGGGCTTGGTTCCCTCTCCTGAGGTTCCAGAACCTTCTGCGGCTGCTCTTCCTCCTCCGGAGCAGCACCCGTCAAGGGGCAAACGAGAATTTCCCTTGTGATCCTCTCCATCAGCGTCTCGCACATGCTCTCTTTACTTTCCTGCCACCTCCTATCCCCTAAAACAAGGTCACGGTGTGAGCAGTCCCACCTCCCAGGGCTCAGAGAAGCAAGCTGCCATGTGAGCAGGAAACCTAACAAAAGGCGTGGGCTGGGGGCTGTGAAGGTGGACAGGATGGAAAGCCGGAGCAAGGGGGAAGCGGGTGAGGATGTGAGGGCTTTGCATGCACACCATCAGTCAATACCCTCCACAAACCCAGGGGCAATGGGCTGAAACAAAATCACTCAGAAGACTGCCGTGTGTCCCCATGTGCTTTCCCTTTTCTGGCACTCCCTGAGCTCACGACTGCCCACCTGCTGGCACTCCCGGCCTGTCTTGCAGCCGAAGCGGCCACGTGAGCAAGCTATGGTCAATGGGATGGATGCACAAGTGTAAGGTTTGTGGAGGGGCTTCCTCCTTCCTGCAGCTGTGGATGTGGGAGCCACAGCAGCCATCCCAAACCGCACGAGAGCAGACACTGGCAATGCAGCCATGAGCTGGAGGGAGCCTGCATCCCTCACCAGGAAGGGCCAAATAATCCCCTATGTGGTAACTAACATGTTACAATGGCAGCCCCCAATGAAGCCAGTCTCCTGGGATTTGGGCCCTTGGGGAGTACCCCCTCCCCCACATGCACAGACATACAAACCATGCACATTGGCTTGGCCACATGACCTACTATGGTCTACAGGACATTAAGCATGCATGACAGAAGCAAAAATTTAAAAAGAACCTGCACAATGGTGCCTCCCCTCCTGGAATGCTCCAGAACTCAAATGCCATGCCATGAGGAAGCTCAAACTAACTACTTGGAGGGGCAACATGGAGAACGCAGGTTGACAGCCTCAGCTGAGCTGCCTGGCAAGAGCCAGCACTAACCGCCGCTGGTGTGAGTGAGACCGCCAGGGACATTCCAGCCCAGCCAAGCTTCCTGATGTCTGTGGCTGTGTATGCGGCCCAGCAACCAGCAAAGGGAGCATAACAGACGCCCATCCCATCCCAGTCAATCCACAGGATCATAACCACCAACACTGCTGCTGTTTAGGAGACTGAGTTTGGGGGCCGTTTGTGACACAGTGAAAGATTGTTAGAACAGCTGGATTCCTGGAGCCTCCTGCTCTGACACTGGGGTGGGGGGCGGCCAAGGTACAGGACAGGTGGTGGGAGAAGAGCGAGGTCAAAGTTGAGGAGCTGTGGAGAGCTTCCACCAGCCTTGGAAAGGTGCCCCTCTACCCCAGCCTCACCACGGTTCTCGGGCCTCACCTGAGAAGCTGCCTTCCGGTGGTTCAGCTTCAACCAACCGAAGCTCCTCTGTCTCCAGCCTGCAGGTGTCATCAGGCTGGGCGAGCTGGTACCCTGAGTGCGATCAAAACACACAAAAACAGAGAGAGACACTGAAGCCAGAGTAGAAAGCAGCCAATGATGCGCCTCAAGCCCCATGGGCTGGCCAGGAAGGGCAGCAGGGCCTCCGCTCTGGACACTGTCCTTTCCTCTGCCCTGGACACTCACCGAAGCTGCCTCACTCAGAGCCCTGGAGTGCTGGGGGTTCCAAGAACACTGGGGAAGGGGTGAAGAAGAGGGCCTACCGAGACAGAGCCGGACAGCCAACAGGGAAGTGGGGGAATTCAATGGAGAGCAAAGTCAGAGAAGAACATAAAACTACAACCACAAAGAGCTCAGACGTCTGTGTTGGGGCCTGTGTTGTGGGCGACGATGTCCACTCAAGAGAGAAGAGCCATGAAGGCCAAGAGGCTCCGTCTGTGTACCAAGGACGATAGTAAAGTTGACGACTGGTGCCAGGAGGCCTTTCCACATTCGGAAGCTTTGGGTCCTACGAGCAGGGGCTGCAAACTCAAAACCCCAGGGCTGTGGCAGAACTCAACCCTGTACAGTGAGAAGGGTAGGGCCAAGGTGGGGACACAGGCAAATTCATTCACCGTCAAATTTGTTCAAAACGCTGTGGGGCCTCAAGGCGCCTGGGTGGCTCAGTCGGTTTAAGGGTCTGACTTTGGCTCAGGTCATGATCTCATGGTTCGTGGGTTCGAACCCCACACCGAGAGCTCTGCTGTAAGCATGGAGCCTGCTTCGGATCCTCTGTCTCCCTCTCTCTGCCCTTTCCCCACCAGCATGTGTGCACTCTTTCTCTCAACATAAACATTGGGGTGCCTGGTCATGATCTCATGGTTTGTGGGTTTGAGCCCTGTGTGTCAGGCTCTGTGCTGGCAGCTCAGAGCCTGGAGCCTGCTTTGGATTCTGTGTCTCCCTATCTCTCTGCCCCTCCCCTGACCTATCTCTCAAAAATAAACATTAAAATGTTTTTTTAATAAATAAGCAAATATTACAAAAACAAA